AAATAGACAAAGGATATGTAGGGTTTATAAAGGAGGAATATAAATGGCCAAAAAGCACATGCGCAACTCTTCTGCTAGTTAGGAAAATATAAAACAGTGAGATTTTTTTTTTTATCCTTTAGACTGGTCAAAATTTACAAAGCTGATGGCTGATAACATCTAGTGCTGGTAAGGTTGAAAGGAAAGGGTCATCTCCTGCATCGGTGGTAGGAGTGTGAGTCATGACAGTCTTTTGAGAAGATAATCTAGCAATATTTATTAAATTTTAGAACATCTTACTTCATCTGGCCTAGTAATTCCACTTTGGGGGATCTGTCCACAGAAATAAAGGCTCCAATATGTAAAGACGTATGTATGAGCAAGTTACGATTGAAAACAAATAAAATACTCAACCTAAAAAAAAAAAAAAAAAAAAAAAAAGAATGGATGTTAAACACAGGCCGAAGAGTTTGAACTGAATTTGAATCCAGACTCTGCTGCTATGAGGGGCATGCTGTGACTTGACCACTTTGAGACTCTCCCTCCTCAACTGTTAAAGAGAGACAGTGATTTCCCTGACTCATGGGGTCCTTGTGAGGATTCAGTGATATTTTATTTAATACTTGTATGTGTAATATCGCTTTGCTCAGGACAGTCCTACAGCACAGATGTGCCATAATTCGCTCAACCATCCTCCCAGCTGATGGAAGCTCACTTTGTTTGCCTTTTTGTGCCGCTTGAAAACCTGCTGATGCCGACATCCTTGTGCTTCTGTCTTCACATGATAGCAGCTGTATTGCCACAGGCTGGGCTCCCAAAAGAACGAGTTAGATCTAAGTGACCTAGAGGGGCTTCCACTATATATTGGGAATTTTTAAAAAGTACTAAGGAAAGAACGTTGCTGAGTACCGTGTAGGGTGGGTATGGAACAGTGTCCTGTGTGGCATGTATCTGTGTACACGTAGAGACACAGAGAAAGTATGGGAGGCCCCATCACACCAAACAGTCAGCAATAGTCACCACCCATGCATGAGGGCCTGGGTATGTGATGGCCCAGACAGGTGGCCCTTCCTGTATGCCTTTGGGATACATGGTTTACTGTAATGAGCATGTCATAGCTTTGACAGTTTGAAAGGAAAGTTCAAACGAGTGTTTTCTGTTAGCTGTGATGGTGACAACAATGATGTTGACTCTTTCTTGTAGGCAAAGAGGAGGCATTGAAGATAGGTCCGTAAGGTGGTGACATGGCCCCCTAGGGTGATCATGTTACCCACAGGGGACGGGAAAGGATAGAATGGGCCCCCTGCAAGAGCCCCTGCCTTCACAAAAGGTTACCAGAAGCTTACGGGAGCTGGGCTAGAAGTACAACAGAGCTCTCCATGAAGAAAGAAACCACAGCTTTTTGTGCGTCATCGTCCCCAGCACCTGGAACAGCATTTGGTACCTTGTGAGTTTGCAAAGAAATATTGGTTGAACAGAACAGAGGAAGGGAAGGGAAGGAAGGGAGGGAGGGACGGAGGAAGGGGAAGAAGAGGGAGGGAAAATTTTCTGTTTGAGAGGCTGGTTCACTCAGATCTGAACACCTCTCCATACATTAACTGAAGTGTCAGCCCAATGCCTATACCTGACTGTTAAGGAAACTCAGAAAAAATTTTGATCACAAATAAGGATTCTTAAAACAACAATAACTCCAAAGTTAAGTGTGATGGTAAGACCTATACTGTTTGGGCTATTCGTGTAATGGAACGATCTTCTAAAAATAATACCTGGAGGCCCAGCTCACAAGGCTGGTGGCTAAGGCAGCTAGAGTGGCAGAAAGGCATCAGGAGCCCTGATCTCTGCTCAAACACTGTCAATATGATTAAATGATGCTTTCTGTATTCAGGTTGCAAAACCACTCCAAGCAAGAGCCTGGAAGAAGCTTAATTTATGTCCCAAGGAGATTAGTTTGCTTCTGAGAGGGGTTCCACTGTCAACTTGATTTCTGTGCACTCTCAGACCTTAGCAGATTGCCTGCTGGCTCCTGTCTGAAAAATCAGGATGAGCTTGTGTGAAAGCAACCAGGAATCGAGCTGGGCCTGGTTTGCTCTTCATCATTTGGAATCATAGAATATCACTCCAGGGGAGAGTCTCAGAGATTATCTGGTGACAAGGGTCTCTTACTTAACCAAGATGCATTTTGTGTGCAACTGTTTTATTGAAGTGGTGTTTTCAGTGGGGTATGGAGGAAGGGAGGAAAGAAGGATGGGAGGGAGAAACCACCCAAAAGCACGTAAAAGGATGATATGGGGATAATAGAATAAACCGTGTCCAGCCGTCTCATGGACTGTTATGCAACCATTGGTAGGACTGAGTGCGTTCTGTACCAGCTGACCTGGATGTGGGACCACATGTGCTGCTAATAAGAGCAGTCAGATTTAGAGATGTCTTTAGATTAGGGATGGAATTAACAAACCACAGGCTAAGTCTGGCCCTCTACCTGCTTTTGTATGGCCCATGAGCTAAGAATGAGTTTTACCTTTTTTAATTGTTGGGGAAAATTCAAAAGGAGAAGATTTTGCAACACATGAAAATCGTATGAAATTCAAATTTCAGTGTCCATCACTCCAGCGTTGTTGGGGCACAGCCACGCTCGTTCGTTTGTGCATCATCTGATGTAACTGCTTTCGCACTGCAGAGGCAGAGTTGAGTCATGGCAACAGAGACTATGTGGCTGCAAAGCAGAAAACATATACCACCTGGCACTTTTCTGCAAAAGTTTGTCAGCCCCTGGTTTAAAGTATGATGACATTTTGTAAAACAATAGCACCAGATACTATTCTCGGTGCTTCATAAAAGTAGAATTATTACATTTGTTTATTCATTCATTCATTTTATCATTTACCCATCAGATTCTTAATGCCTACCTCTGGGGCCAGACACCAGGAGCCAGAGAACAAACAGATGCAGTCCTCACTCTCACGGACTTTAGAGTCCGTGTCTAGATCTTTCTTTTTTGAGCATAGATGTTCCTAGCTCTTCAAAGTGTTCCTCATGAAACGTGGTGTTTCTGCCCCTTGCACTGCCTCCCTTCCTCTTCCCCACTGTGCATCCTGATGGCCTCAGTCCCTCCTAAGGAGAAGTACCCAGAATGACCCCATCCCTCCTGGTGTCTTGCCAGGAGATCAAGGTCAAGGTCAAGGTCTAGAGGGACTCATCTTGAAGGGGTCTTGCTCTCAAGCTGGTTTCAATGTGCTCAGCATTCAACCTTTGCATTTTCAGCTCCTGCTCCCTAGTGACCCCAGAGAAGGCGAGCTCCAGTCCTTGACCTCATCATGTGGAAGGGAGCAGGTGGAAGCTATGGAGAAGTACACAGCTGTGTCTACACGTGATCCCTCTAGCATCAAGCCAAAGTCACCTCCAGACACATGCCCCAGTGCCTCAGTCTCTATGCAAAACCTGGAGGGTGGAGACCTACTCCAGTCCTGAGAGGAAGCTGGCTTTTCAGGGGACCAGCTGAGGACTGGAGTTTGAACCACACATCTGGCTTCAAGGCCTTGCCTTTACCCTTTCTTCATTCATACTCATGCCCAACACCTTATAGAAGACTGTTTTATTTATTTCTAGAAAAATAGCATTGGTTCCATCACTGAAGCCTCCTCAACTGTGGACATTTTCTTTTGGCTCTCTTGGGAGGCTGGAGCCCTGTGGTTGGCATCATTGACACATCAGGGAGCTGGAAGAGAAACAGCCAGGGGCCGTGGTCAGGGGAAGGAGCTGTAGGGCCCCAGAATGGCGCCCAATGGCACGACCCCTTCCTTTTGCCTGGACTCCCCCGCATTCAGAGTCACCATCGGCGTGGTCCTCACAGTCCTCATCCTCATCACCATCGCCGGGAACGTGGTGGTCTGCCTGGCCGTGGGCTTCAACCACCAGCTCCGCAGTCTGACCAATTGCTTCATCATGTCCTTGGCTGTCACCGACCTGCTCCTCGGCCTCCTGGTGCTGCCCTTCTCTGCCATCTACCAGCTGTCCTGCAAGTGGGACTTTGGCAAGGTCTTATGCAATATCTACACCAGCATGGATGTGATGCTGTCCACAGCCTCCATCCTCAACCTCTTCACGATCAGCCTTGTCCGGTACTGCGCCGTCACCGACCCGCTGCGGTACCCTGTGCTGGTCACCCCAGTTCGGGTTGCCATCTGTCTGGTCTTCATTTGGGCCATCTCCATCACCCTGTCTTTTCTGTCTATCCACCTGGGGTGGAACAGCAGGAATGAGACCAGCAAGGACAATCACAACACCCCCAAATGCAAAGTCCAGGTCAATGAAGTATACGGGTTGGTGGATGGACTGGTCACCTTCTACCTGCCTCTGCTGATCATGTGCATCACCTACTACCGCATCTTCAAGATCGCCCGGGATCAGGCCAAGAGGATCAATCACATGGGCTCCTGGCATGCAACCACCATCAGGGACCACAAAGCTACAGTGACACTGGCCGCTGTGATGGGGGCCTTTATCATTTGCTGGTTTCCCTACTTCACCACATTTGTGTACCGCGGGCTGAAAGGGGATGATGCAGTCAATGAGGTGTTCGAAGCCATCGTTCTGTGGCTGGGCTATGCCAACTCAGCCCTGAACCCCATCCTGTATGCTGCCCTGAACAGAGACTTCCGCACTGCATACCAGCAGCTCTTCTGCTGCAGGCTCGCCAGCTACAACTCCCACAAAAGTTCTCTAAGGAACAACAGTTCTCAGCTGTCCAGGAGCCAACGCCAAGAACCCAGCCAGCAGGAAGAGAAACCCCTGAAGCTCCAGGTGTGGAGTGAGACAGAAGTCATGGCACAGCAGGGAGCCACCGACAGGTAACATCCCTAGTCACTTGTGCACAGGATGAGGGGACACTGGGAGGGGATCCTGCTAATGTTCATGGCTAAGTTGGTTGTTGGTTTATGTGCTGGAAACTCTTTATGTGCACTTTGCAGACATTGTCTAATGACCCCCTACAGTAGAACTTTATATCTCCATTTGAAAAAGAACACATTAAAGTTTACAGAGAACTCGGCAAAGGCCACCAGCTGGAACCTGGAAAAATCTCCTGACTGCAGACCTTGTGGGGCCTTTATTCAACCTACGCTGCCCTTACAATCAGAAGTCCTAAGGTTAAGCCCCAACTCTGCCACTTAGGAGTCAACTAAACCCTCCAGGACAGCACTCAAATAGCCATGCACTAAGGCTGCCACCTGACAGGGCCGTGGAGGGGATAAATGAGAAAGCCAGCTCAGTTCAGCATCTACTGAGCACCTACAGCAGCTTTTACCTTGGGAGTGCTCAAGTCCTCCAGGACAGCACTCAAATAGCCATGCACTAAGGCTGCCACCTGACAGGGCCGTGGAGGGGTTAAATGAGAAAGCCAGCTCAGTTCAGCATCTACTGAGCACCTACAGCAGCTTTTACCTTGGGAGTGCTCAAGTCGGTGGGGAAAGAAGATGGCAGAGTCAGAAAGGTGGGGTCTTGAAGGCCAGGCTAAGGTTTGGGCATAATAATATGGATCTTAGAGAAATACGAAAGAGTTAGAAACAAGGGTGAGGGTAACCTAAGCAGATCTGAGCTTTGGAAAGAGAGCTCTGTTTGCTCCCTAAGATGTGGACCAGAAGGATGACACTGAAGATGGGGACACGAGCGAGAGGACTGTGGCACTGGTCCATGAGAGAGGAAGAGAAGAGGACAGAATCTATGTATTAGTCCATTTTGTGTTGTTAGAAAAGAATTACCTGAGATTGGGTAATTTATAAAGAAGAGAGGTTTATTTGGTTTACAATTCTAGGACAGCTGCATCTGGTGCGGGCCTCAGGCTGCTTCTACTCATGGTGGAAAGTGGCAGGCAGCCGGTGGGTACAAGCAGATCACATGGCAAGAAGAAACAAGACAGACAGAGGAGGTGCCAGGGTCCTATAAACAACAAGCTCTCACGGGAACTGACAGAGCGAGAACTCACTCATTTATCCCTCCTCCCCCAGGGAGAGCATTAATCCATTCATGAGGGATCCGCCCCCATGACTCAATTGCATTCCAACACTGCCACATTGGCGATCAAAATTCCACATGAGTTTTGGAGGGGACAACACATCCAAACTCCATCATTCCACCCCTGGCCCCCAAAACTCATGTCACTCTCACATATAAAATACAATCATTCTATCCCAACAGTCCCAAAAGTCTTAGCTTGCTCCAGCACCAACTTAAAAGTCCAAGGTCTAAAGTCTCATCTGATACCAAAAGCAAAAGTCCTTCCAGCTGTGAACCTGAAAAACAAAACCAAACTTATCTACTGCCAAGATACAATGGTGGAACAGACATTGGGTATATATTCCCATTCCAAAAGGGAGGAATAGGCCAAAAGAAAGGAAAAACAGGTCGCAAACAAGTCCAAAACAAAGCAGGGCAGGCAATATGTCTTAAAGCTCCAAAACAATGTTCTTTGACTCCAAGTCCTGCATCCTGGGCATAATTGGGCATCTGGGCCCCCAAAGCATCAGGCAGCCTTGTTCCCACAGCTCTGCCAGGCATAGCCCAGTTGGCCACACTGGTGCCTGTGGCTTTTCCAGGCCTGCATTGCATGTTACCAGTGGCCCTGCAGTTCTGGGGTCCTGGCAGCAGCCCCACTGCATTGGCTCTACTAGACATTTCCCTGGTAGGGGCTCCCTGCGGGGGCTCTGACCCCACATTCCTGCTCAGCATTGCTCTACTAGATGTCCTCTGCAGTGGCTCTGCTCCTGTGGCAGGTCTCTGCCTGGGACCCCAGGCTTTTCCATACATCCTCTGGAATCTGGGTGGAGGCTCCCATGCCTCCATTGCTCTCACGTCCTGCTGGCCTGCAGACTTAACACAACATGGGCACCACCAAGGTTTCAGGCCTCTACTCACCAGGGCTGCTGCATGAACTATACTTGGGGCCACTCCAGCCAGAGCAGCTGGGATGCAGGGAGCAGGTTCCCAAGGGCAGCTGCACCCCAGGTCTGTTCTCCAGGATAACTCAGTCCTTCTAGGCCTCAGGGTCAGTGATGGGTGGGGCACCCTTCCAGACTTCTCAAATGCCTTTAGGGCATTTTTTCCATT